ACACACACACACACACACACACACACACACGCACAGCCCCAAATATGCCACACGCAATCACACCCACAACCCCACACACTCGCACCCCCCTTCCCCAAACAATGCTCTGTTGATCAAGCATTGACCAAAAAATTTTGGATATTTGGACATTAGTTCTTCAACTAGACACATATGTGTATGTTCTCACTTTCACACATTTCCTAACCCAGTGAATATTTGGTTGTATGTAGTCAAGTGGAAAAATAAATCCCAAATGCTGATGGACTTTTTTCCTAAGCTACCATTGTACTTTGCCATAGAACTGAAGACATCTTTTAAAGAGGGGTTACTGAAAGCAAAAATCAAACTGCTGATTCAGTTGAAAATATAATCTGAATAGCTTTTTGAACTGTAGAAAGGAATGATCCACAATAATTAACTGACTCTAGCTCTTTGGGACCATCAGTGTGTATTTTTAAGTCATTATGGAGTAGTTACATTGAAATAAACTCCTTTTTTTCATTCTTAAATTCTGTCATGCAAGAGTAATCATGAAGAACAATCATGCATTTGCATACAATAAATAACTTATTCTCTTAATGGACTATTTGGAATAGTCATAGTGTAGTAGGCTCCAAGAAGACACAGATGAAAAACATACCCATCTGCTGTCAGAGAAGCAAACAACATTCAGCATAAGGAGTGATGGGGTTGGGGACTGGCAATGGGAGACTTTGAGGGAGGAAAAGAAAAATTCCCAAAGACACCAGAAGGATGATTCTTACATGGAGGAAGGAAGAGAACTGGAAATTTGAAGAGTGGTGAAGAGTTGTCCATAGCTTAAGATGAAGACTCCATCATCTGGAGATAGGCAAGGGCCAGGTCATAGACACACAGACCGGGTAAGAACCTGGAGTTTTACTCTTTAGATCAACGGTCCTCAAAGTGTTGTTCTCAGGTTAACAGTCTTAAGGACCCCAGGGACTGTATCAGAAATGCCAAGTCTAGGGCCCTACTATGGTTTAGATCTAAAATGTCCCCCAAAATTCTCATGTGTGTGGAAGATGATTGGTTCATGGGGTTTATTGGTATATTTTAGGTATAAAATACAGTTACTTTCATCATTGGGATCTTGTACCTTTACATGAGTATCTTGGTTCTTATTTTTTCCCCATTCCCCTGCCCTCCTTTCACCCCCTCCACCCTTCCCTATTTGCAAAGACTTTGTTTCCATTCTTTTCCTTTTCTCATATTTTTTCTTTTCCCTTCTTTCCTTTCCCCTACCCCTCCCACTTCCCCTGCTCCTTTAGACCTTTTCTCCCTATTATACAGTATCAATTACACATTTTAAAAATTACAAGATCAAGATCTAGAAGACATTACTACAGATTTTACAGAATTTAAGAGGATATACAAAGCATATTTCAAAAATCTGTTTTGAAATAAATTTGACAACTTCTAAGAAGTACCTTGGAAGA